ACCGGTGCTGAGCTGCCTGAGTATTATTTAAGGTACCTACATGGGAACAAATATTTAATAGTGGGCTCTTTGGTCTAGCAGAGAAAGTTATAACATGATCCACTGGCTGGAAGTTGAAGCTAGACAAATTCAGACTAGAAATAAGGTGTAAATATTTAACAGTGAGGGTAATTAATCATTGGAACAACTTACCAAGGGTCATGGTGGATTCTCCATCCCTGATGATTTTTAATAAATATTGGATGTTTTCCTTAACAATATGCTCTATTAATTATTTTGGGGAAGTTCTGTGGTCTGTGTTATACAGGAGGTTAGACTAGATGATCACAATGGTCCCTTCTAGCCTTGGAATCTGAAACCGTTGATGTGGCCCCAGGCTCTGTAGCTGCTTCCTAGGAGTTCTAGTCCTGAAGTCTGAGAAGTGAATTGTTTGAAAGAGCCTTATATATGGTTGCTTGTGTTTATTGCAGCTTCTGTGCCCCAAATGTACTTCGAAGTTGGGCTCCTTCAGTTGGCGTGGTGAACAGTGTTCGTGTGGCCGCTGGGTGACTCCTGCCTTCCAGATTCACAAGAGTCGGGTGGATGAAATGAAAGCGCTGCCAGTTTGTGGATTCCAAACTGCCAAAACGTGAATGCTGGTGCTTGCTGGCTTTAGTGACTCCCCTGAGGTTCTCTGAGAACTGTTGCCTGTTATAGTGTATCGCTGTGGTCAGCAGTCACCTCTTTCTGTTAGCATGAGGGTAGTTTGGCACTACCGGAACATACAATTGTAGCACAAGCTTCTAGTGTTTATGAACACATGCATCTGTGCAAGAGAGTTGTTTAAGATGAGCTGGATGACTCTTCTTGGGGCTTCTTGTATTTCATAGATTTGGGGAGCCATATGAATTAATAGAAAAAATCCACTGACATCTTTTTAAAAAACCATTGGTGAAATATTGCTGATCGTATAGCCTGCAAGTGTAAAGTGCTAATAAACTCCATCTAGTCATGCCTATGGTCATGCAAAATATTTGGTAAAGTGTTGGAACACATTTGACATCGGTAAATACAGAGCAAGAAAGGCAAATTTTGAAACCAGAGTGGTGGTGTGAAGGCTCCTTAGTTTAGAAAGACGACTGCATGTGGCTTTTGCTTGTGGGCTATCATTTCATAGTCGTATTTCTGTAAGACCAGTTCCAAAGGTCCTATGTGAAGGCAGATGTTTATGAAGTGTTCTGAAAAGGGAATGCATGCTGTATGATATGGGCTTATGACCAGAACACAGCATTGGGGAAGAGGAGTTCTGTTCCACTCTTCTGTAAACTGTGTGTGCGGCTGTGGTAAGCTACTTCTCCTCTGCCCCAGTCTCTCCAGTTTCCTCAGCTGGAAAAGGGAGGTGATCATTTTTTGTAAATCACTGGAGATCTCTGGATAGAAGGTGCTGTATATGTACTGTTTAGTCATGGTGATGGTCTCTTCTGAGGTTGGTTCTTCAACTTTTGTTTAATTTAGATCAAAGAACTCTTTCAAGTGAAGTTAGTAAATGGATGTTGAGACAATGTTCTATGAATGCCACGTTGCAACAGGAAACTAAACAAGTCACTGAATAATTTTTCACAGGCCTCATAGGTAGCAGGGGGAGAGCAGTACTGGGTTTACAATGGTTCTGGTGGTGCCAGGTCTACACTTGGAAAGAGCCCACAAAGGGTTGCCACAGCCCAGCAATGTGAAGAGACAGCACCTTCCCAGCACCAGTTGAAACGCTTAGCATCCTGGGGAGCGCAGTGCGCATGTGCAAAAGGGACTGGGTGTTGCAGGGTGTGCTGGGGGTTGTAGTTTGCACACCACTGTGTTCCGCTGGGGCCCTGGGCCCTGGGACCTGCGCTGCCAGCTGCCCAGCTGCACTACTAGTCCCAGAATGCCCCGTACCATGCTACCAGCCACCCCAGCTGAAGTGGTTCGAGCGGACCTAAAAGAAACCCCAAGCAAGGAAATGGTCTGGTGCAGGGACTGGGTTCCTGGGGCTAATCCTGCTGCATTCCCCTCCCTCTTGGAGCTCCTGGCTCCCCCCATCCCTGAATCTCACTCTCCTGGGGCAGTGGGGAGCTGGGGGCAGCCCCCCAGTGAACATGATGCCCAGGGGCTCCTGGGCACTGTCTCGACCCTGCACTTCAGGGTGGGGAGTGGTTGTCTGTGGTGCCTGGGAGCAGGGGGCGCGGTGACAGTGGGGCTTGTCAGTGCTGGCTGCCGTGTTCCCTGCCAGTGGGAATGCCCAGAAACTGCCCCCCTGCACTCCAGGGAGGGGGCGCAGCCCGGTTTTGGGGAGGTGGGGCAAGTTGGGGTGCGATGGGGGAGCTGCCGGTGACTCCGTGTGGGGGGTGTAGGAGAAGCAGGGTGTTAAGGTGGGGTTGGTGAGAGGGAGGGAGGGGAGAGGCTGGGTGAAGGTGGGGGTTGGCTCAGTGTGTGGGGGGGTAGTAGAAGAGGGAAGTGACAGCCCTGGGGTGAAAGTGTGTGTGGGGGTGGGCAGTAGCAGGGAGATTGAGGAGAGCCTTTGTTAGAAGGTTAGTTGTGTGGGATGAGGACAATAAGAGGGACGGGGGGAAGAGCCCAGGTGTGAAGATTGGGGTAAGAGCTGGAGGCTGGATTGTGGTAGCCCAGGGGTCGGCAACCTTTCAGAAGTGGTGTGCCAAGTCTTCATTTATTCACTGTAATTTAAGGTTTCGTGTGCTAGTAATACATTTTAACATTTTTAGAAGATCTCTTTCTATAAGTCTATAATATATAACTAAACTATTGTTGGCTGTAAAGTAAATAAGGTTTTTAAAATGTTTAAGAAGCTTCATTTAAAATTAAATTAAAATGCAGAGTCCCCCGGACCAGTGGCCAGAACCCGGGCAGTGTGAGTGCCACTGAAAATCAGCTCGCATGCCATAAGTTGCCTACCCCTGTGGTAGCCTTTGTGGTAAAGTATGTGTTTTCTCTCAGTGGCCCTTTCTCCCTGCAAAAGATGGGCACCAGCAATTTTCCTCCCCACACTCTGCCCCAAAGATTTGTAAACATTATTGTACCAAAGTAGAAAATGCAGCTTTCAAAAAATGTATTTACAAAACACAACTTTGGGGTGCAGGAGGTGGTGGTGGGGAGATGCAAGTGCGACACCACTGACTGTTACATTCAGGCTTAATATGTCTCATATGTGTGCTAATTAAGGACTTGTGTTCAGGGCCCCAAGCAGGCCCTGAGTGTTTTAAAGAAAAAAGACAAAACTAACAAACAACCTTCTCCCACACAAACCAAATTCAATGGTATTCTGGGTACATTGATGTTAGCCCAGTTTGCTCTCTATGGGCTGAGTGGAGGTCTCAGTGTGGCTTCAAATATCTTATTTTGTTTTTGAATAAATGTTTTCATCCCCATCCCGGCAATACTACATTTACTATGGTATCAATGGTGGTGTCACACCAGTCCCACACTTGGAAGGGGCCCATCACAATCACATGGGGGCCCACAAATATGTTTGGTGCAGGGCCCACAAAAAGTTAATCCGGTCCTGGGGGAGTGTCTCAGTTGTCTTCCTCCCTGTAATGCTTCAGTCTCCAAGAAAGAGGCTGGATAATCTAACCGATCTTTACCATCTGTACTTTCCAATTCTATGACTTCTGCACTGTACTGAGAATAAAGTTTACCATGGGCTACTACTAAAGGAGATGAGTCCTTATAACACATTACTCTGCTGAAAGACAAAGAACGGTTACTTACCTTCTGTAACTGTTGTTCTTCGAGATGTGTTGTTCACGTCCATTACACATTAGGTGTACGCGCGCCGCGTGCACGGACATCGGAAACTTTTTCCCTTAGCGGCTCCCGTCGGGCCGGCAGGGCCCCCTCCCTCCCGCCAGAGCGGCGCCCCGCTCTAGGGTATATATATCCCTGCCGACCCGACCCCTCCGGTTCCTTCTTGCCGGAGACTCCGACAGAGGGGAAGGAGGGTGGGAAGTGTAATGGACGTGAACAACACATCTCGAAGAACAACAGTTACAGAAGGTAAGTAACCGTTCTTTCTTCTTCGAGTGATTGTTCACGTCCATTACACATTAGGTGATTCCCAAGCTTACCATTGGAGGTGGGTAGGAGTCAAGGTACAACTGACTGTAGCACAGCCCGTCCGACCACCGCGTCCTCTCTGGTCTGATGGTGGATCGCGTAGTGGGCTGTGAACGTATGCACGGACGACCAGGTCGCTGCTTTACAGATCTCCTGGATAGGGACCTGCACCAAAAAGGCCGTTGAGGACGCTTGGGCC